TGAGGTAGGTATACCACGAACTTATTTTTGAGGTACCTGGCAACCTACCTGGTAAACTTCCCGGATCTTTAAAAAAAAATGTTTGACAGGCGAATGTTTGATCATAATTTTACCGATGTTCAGTGACGATGTGGCTGAGCGTTCGACTGTGTTATACACTCTTATCTTGCTAAAACAACTTGACAACTGTGGTATTCGAGGCGTAGCAAATGACTTAATACGTAGTTATCTATCGGAACGTAAACAAGCACTATGTTTGACCGTGTTTAAGAGGCCACATCGACATACTTAAGAAACATATTGGGAGTGCTACAGGGAAGCGTATTGGGTCCTGTCCTCTTTATAATTTACTATCACATCTTACTCACTGTTATGCACGCTGTATACCTATTATGTTCGCTAACAAAAAATATGCAATTTGGTAATTACAAAAAAATTGACTTAGATTTACACATAATTTGCGAAAATGACGTTATTGATGAGGTAAATAATACAACATTGCTTGGTATTACTATAGATAAAAACTTAAATTGGAAACATCACATAGATGTGCTAAATAACAAACTTTGTAGTTATTGCTACACTTTATCTGTATTGGTCGATGTAGCGTCGGTTGAAGTTGCAAAAAACGCATATTACGGGAACGTACACCCGTTACTAATGTATGGTGTAATTTTTTGGGGAAACTGTCAGCGCGGTTAAAATATTCACAATACAAAAACGATGCTTACGCATAATCTATAGTAACTCCAGGGATTATTGTCTAAGAACTCTTTACAAAGGAAAGGGGTTCCTGACTTTAACAGGAATATATATTTCGGACATATGTCTTTTTGTACGTCATCACAGTAACTTCTTTACTAAAATATCTGATGTACACGCCGTCAACGTCAGAAACAAGGACCGTCTTGTCCTCCCCAAAATAAACAGCACGATCTTTGACCGCTGCACCTATGTAACAGCGATCAGAATTTATAACAGACTTCCAATGGAAATGAAATGTTTAAATGGGGATAAATTTAAAGCTTGTTTAAAAAAATGGTTAATTGACAAAGTTTTTTACAATCTTAACGAATTTTATATAAAGACATCATTGACTTACAAGTAAATGGACGAAGGGTCTAATACAAAAACCACGAAAAAAATGTCCCAAGGCAACCTATTTAAACCTAGTGACATGTAAAGGAATATGAAAAAGCATTGACTTACAAATAAATGGACGACGGGTCTAATACAAAAACCACGAAAATAATGTCTCAAGTCAACCTATTTAAACGTAGTGACATGTAAAGGAATATGAAAAAGCCAAAACGTTGAATTTAAATTGTAATGTCATCGCAGTACTGTATAATTTTGCTTGCTTCGCTGTCAGTCGAACAAACGAAGACTAAAGCGTGAATGACGCTCTGTATACGATTTTAACGCCCTATAAGTTCGGACACTTTTTAGCGCGGACCCGACGTCCATATAATTGTAAGTCAATGTGAAAAAGCTAAAACGTTGAATTTAAATTGTAATGTCATCGCAGTACTGTCTAATTTATATAAGAGAACGGTAGTAGACAACCCTGCTTCGAATCTAGCCGAATCGGAATGAATTTTTCCAAGTGTTCGGTCTTTGTTATAATAATTATAATAAAGAAGTGGAGTAATTTCACAAAAATAAAATTGAATGTCATAAAACATCGTGACATTCAATAAACTTAAAAATTTAAATATGAGACTCTTGTATTTAAAAAACATCTTAACTTTATATTGGATAAAACTAATTATGGGATTTCTGTCGCATTGTCATCAAGATAATAATTATCAAAATAAATAAATATCTTTATAATTTCTGTATGGGTCTGTGAATGTCTACGGTTGAAGTAGTAGTTGAATAGGATGTTGAGTTCACGTAAACCACAATTTCCGTAATAAGTTGATGTATTAAGTAAAAAGTGTACAGTATAATTTTGAACGCTTGTCTGTGGCCGATCGCTAGTGAAACGAGTTGTCTACTGTCGTTTGTAATCATTTACACGTGTAATATGTAGGTTGTTAAGTTAGCAAAAATATTGTACAGTCTAAAAACTGTACAATTTTGAACCGGCCTTAATCGCGTTAAAGTATTTATAATAACAAAAATGTATTAACCAAACCGTTTTTGTGAACAGATATCGAACAACAAAAGACATCTCTCTCCCCTTCCGCGTGATCCCTCTGGTGCGCGAAGTGGGCCGCACCAAGATGGAAGTGAAAGTCGTTTTGAAGAGTAACTTTAAGCCTTCACTTCTTGGACAGAAGATCGAAGTTAAGATCCCCACTCCGCTCAACACAAGTGGCGTACAATTGATCTGTTTGAAGGGAAAGGCGAAGTATAAGGCTTCGGAGAATGCTATTGTATGGAAGTGAGTATTCAATTTGTATTTTTGTTATAAATTAAGTCCTGGTTTGGTAATGATTTATATAAATATATTTTTTTAAATAATAATAATAATAATAACGCACACACTCATCATAGCCCCGCACTAGGGAAACCCTGTGTCGCGGGTGCCATGGACACATACATAGACAAACACAAATTACACCCAAACTCACGAGAGAAATAAATGTAGGCCATACAAATATTTCTCCCGGCCCGGGAATCTAACCTAGGACCTCTGCGTGGCAGTCCGGCATGGTAACCGTTCGGCCACGGAAGCAGTTAAATATTTTTAATTTGTGGGAACTTTATTCCCACAAATTAAATTGATAAAGTTTCCTGACGGAGAACCTTCAAGGGTATGTAAAGATAACAGTCTTAACATGTAGTTTTATAAATAGATATTGAGGCCACAGAGTCTGACTATTCGCCAATGATCGTGTTTTCATTAATACTATACCAATGATTTAGTAGCAGTAGATCTCCTTATGAAAGAGTTTGTCCAGGGTAGTACTGCCACCTTAGCTATTTCTGCCGCCAACCAGTAATGTCAGCATTACTGCGTTCCGGTTTTGAAGGGTAAGGGAGCTGGTTAAATTACAGGCACATGGGACTTGTCAACTTATGTCTCAAGGTGACTGACACAGTGGATTAAGATCCTTGCGATTTAAAGCTCTTGAGTGGCACTGCAGCTTGGACAAGCGTGTCGCTTTTCACCAAGCGCACGATTTGTTCGTCCCTTCACTTGGTAGCATAAAAAAATTATCTACTTGCATGCCAAAGACTGCGGACCTCCACATGGTACTTTTGACCTTGACTATATATGCTGAGGACAACCTTTCCACCGGTTTCAATCCATCGCTCATCTCAAATTATAATCAAAAAAAATTGTGACATCTAATATATCATCTTGCGCTAGACTCACCTAATTCTGGATCCCGACTTTGACGATGTCGTTTATCCATTTCGCTGCAGGACGTCCCACATTTCTGTAACCACTTCTTGGCTAATAGTGGCCGTGGTACCAAGATGTAGATTTACTCTTGCTGTACTTTGAGGTTAAAAAAAACATTTATTCTTAGGATCAAACGCATGGCGGGTATGAAAGAAACCCAGCTGTCAGCTGAGATCGAGCTTCTGGAGACCGATACCAAGAAGAAGTGGACAAGACCGCCTATTTCCATGGGCTTTGAGGTGCCCTTCGCGCCTTCTGGCTTCAAGGTACGTTTTCCGAAATTTAACGTGCGTTTTGTAGCTGCTGTATTCGAATTCGAGACTCACTCTTGAGCAAACACACGCCCTACACAAAGGCACTAAAGACAGTCGAAACTAAGAAAATCCTACAGTCATTTAAAACTGTTTGTCCTGACTCTCAAGTTTTAATTAACGATAATCATAATATACCAATTTCTAATCGCAATACTCTTAATTGATAAAACCGAATTTTTCTACGCCCGCTTTGTAATGAGCTGGGCTGGTAAATCGTCGCCGTTCCTGTTTTAGTAGATAATGGGCTATACTTAGTTCTGATCTTTGTGCACAGGTGCGGTACCTGAAGGTGTTTGAGCCAAAGCTGAACTACTCGGACCATGACGTGATCAAATGGGTGCGCTACATCGGACGCTCGGGGCTCTACGAGACTAGATGCTAAGCTACGGATTGCTGTAAGTCACGCTAGCATACCACTTGATATTATTTGTCACCAACACCATATACCAACATCGTATATAAACATCATACACCTATGTACATCGCACTTGAGTATCATATACGAATATTGTGTATAGTAGTGAATAGTAGATAGTCGTTGGTAACCGCATAAATTACTTTTGCATTTAGTATGATAACTTGCACCACATCTAGCGGTTATAAGCTTTAGTCTCTGCTTAAACTTGTGGTACCTTAGGCAAACATGGAGCTACTTTATAGAAAGATTTTACTATTTATTTATTTTGATGTTTTACTACCATGATTTTCATATATTTTTTGTGAAAATATTCCACTAATTAGATGTCCAAAGTGTAAACAAATAGATGTCATTGTCAAAGTGTGAATGCAGGTGTGCTAAACCTTCTATTTTTAACTGCCTCGGTGGCCGAACGGTTACCATGCCGGACTGCCACGCAGAGGTCCCAGGTTCGATTCCCGGGCCGGGAGAAATATTTGTATGGCCTACAATTATTTCTCTCGTAAATTTGGGTGTAATTTGTGGTTGTCTGTGTGTGTGTGTGTGTCCATGGTACCCGCGACACAGGGTTTCCCTAGTGCGGGGCTATGTTGAGTGTGTGCGTTATTTATTTATTTATTTTATAATAATAAAAGGAGGAAGTTCTCATTTTCCACAATTTTAGTGAACGGTTACGAAATATTAAGAATAAAAAACAACTTTAGCAACAACACACAATAATTTAACAAACGCACTATGGAGACAAGAAAACATTCGAGTTCGAGAAACGAACCACGAGAAAATCATGACACTACAAAATGGTGGCACAAAAAATGTTTTCAGTTTTGTCGACCTTAGAAGTTCGTCGAATCACATCTCGAAACCGGATTCATTCTCTAGTTTGTCACTCTTAGAAGTGAAATAAAATTATATTATTTTCGTCAAATTTAAATGGGACCAATCGTATAGGTACCCTCTTTTCGACTAAAAAAAAAGAATCATCAAAATCGTTTCACAAATTTATCGCGTAACATCATTGACTTACAAATAAATGGACGACGGGTCTAATACAAAAACCACGAAAAAAATGTCCCAAGTCAACCTATTCGAAATTTAAATTGTTATGACATCGCAGTATCGCGCTGTCAGTCGAACAAACGAAGACTAAAGCGTGAATGACGCTCTGTGTACGATTTTAGCGCCCTATAAGTTCGGACACTTTTTAGCGCGGACCCGACGTCCATATAATTGTAAGTCAATGCGTAACATACATAAAAAAGCAGTTGAATTGAGAAACTCCTCCTTTTCTTGAAGTCGGTTAAAATTTGAACTGTTCTGAGTTTTATCAGATTACTGATTGACAGGAGTTCTAAACATTTTTTATCGTCAAAAATAGGAAACTACTATTTAAAATGTATTTTTTTTCGCTTGGTTAACCCCTGTTTACATTTTGGATTTTGGACATCTAATTATGATTCATACTGCAGTTTGTTATTATTATTGATGCAAAGAAAATTTATTCAATCTGACTGCACTCGAACCATTGTCTGTTTTCAAGGCGTAAGTGAAATTGTACTTGCAAATTAAATAAGTTATAAAATCGTGGTCTATTTCTCCCGTCTGCTGTCTTACAATACTAATAAATTGATTAATTCAACCTTCATATTCATATTCATTTATTGCAATTCACATGTATAGTACAGGTTAATTATCTTAAGATTATAGTAGGTACATACACATGATACCCTGTAAGTAGCAAATAAAACTAATTGTATAAGAACATTAATTAAACTGTTTATATATAAACATTTCAAAACTTAAATAAATAAGCAATTATTTCTATAATTATTATAATATGTATATACTGTATTATTAAAATTATAATTAGAAGTAGAGACAAATAATTAATTAATTAATTAATCAAACAGTTTTTTATCAAAAAACTCAGACAAATTATAATTTTTTTTTATTGAGGTAATCCTTCAATTGTTTTTCGAAGACCATATTTTTATCTAAATCTTTAATATAATTAGGGATATGGCAAAATGTTTTTATTAACATCTAAACACCTTCATTTCAGGATGCCGCTACATGGATCGGACGTACCTAAAACAGGACATTACATGGCGTGTTACGTAAAGATTTTTCGTATATAATATAATTTTCACAACACAACTTTACTGTCAGTGATGATTTACAGTCGAATTTTTTATTAGCGATACAAAACTGACGTTAAGAGTCGATACAGTCTAAAATGGCTTTGGTTCATCCCGCATAACAGTGAAAGTGTTGAAGCAATCACTATGAAAGAAATACATAGTGAAATTAAGGATATACGCTGATTGCTATACGGCGTGAAAACACGATTCGTGAAAATTTTCAGGATAGAAAAAAATCCAAACTTACGTCGAAATTTTACAAGAAAACCGCTGCATTTGTATATGAATTCTGAATACTGAAGAATTTGAATTCAAGCTGAGGTAAAATCGACTCTTAGGGATTAATTTACATTGCCGCGGAAAAGGAAGATATTTATTACTACAGAATTTTATTACATACGTATAACTAGTTTTCAAGCTGACAGTCGTAAAGCCACTTTAAGTCTGTATACATATATTTTTAACTTATACATACGTACGTATATTGGGTCCAGATGTATGTACATTGTTTTTATTTTATTGCGTGTTATATATCAGTTAAAAATTGTATGTGTTAGATAGAGATGTTAGCGCCATAGAATCTCATTTTAAAATGATATGAGTCAATAGTTTCTCTGAAAATAGATTCGATGATTTTATTTTCAAAAGTAAATATATAAAAAAAAGCCGTCATTATTGAAAAAATGCCTCTGTAATCCATTGAAAAGCGAAACGTAATCTAATACTCTCTTAACATCGTCTCCTTTAGCACGAATGGACGTAAACTAGCCGTTTTGACGGAAACAAGTTATTTAAATAGCTTTATTCAGCACCGCGCGCCTGCTGGTAAGCGACACGCCTGCCCATAACAGTTGCAGTGCGAGACAGAACTTTAAATCGTAAAGGCTTGAGAGGCCTTGTCATTGCACCCTTCACACTGGAACATAAAGTTGACAAGTCCCATGTGCATGTAATTTCACAAGCATCTTTACCTTTCAAAATCAGAATGTTGTAAAACGTGAAACATACAGAGAGCGGGCGCGGGTCGGTAGCACAGCGGGTCTAATTCCACGCGCCCGACCCGACACGCGCCCGATCCGACACGCGCCCGATCCGACACGCGCCCGACCCGACACGCGCCCGATCCGACACGCGCCCGACCCGACACGCGCCCGACCCGATACGCGCCCGACCCGACGCACGCCCGACCCGACACGCGCCCGACCCCACACGCGCCCTTTGTGTGTTTCACACTTAATGCTTACATTACTGCTTGGCGACAGTAATAGTCTCTTACACGGAGCTCTACTGCTATTAAATTTTCGTCGAATTCGTTAGTAGCGTCTATTCGTGTTGTAAGAGACAACCATCAGAGCAATATAAAATGTACTAGGTAATTAGAAATTAATTTTAATAATCATACACCATTCCTACTTTTAATTTTATTAAAAATCTTTTATTTTGTCAAGTTAAATGTTTTAATGTAGAGGTGTTAACGAAATGTATGTTCTCTAGATCGACAATTGTATGTTTTATTTAAAGATGCACTGTGTATAATATTTCCGAAGCTGGGATATTTATTACTATACAAAACGATTTATAATAAAAAAAAAAAAACAGTGTTATGCTAAAGAATGACAAGAAAAAAAATTCATAATTATTGATTATGTAACTTTCGTTCGCTGTGACAAAACTTTTGTCGAATACTTTTACGCTATCACTGGCGAACAGTACGTTTGAACAAAGTAAATCGATGTAAAAGGTTCTCAGCTAAAACTGTAATGCAAGACATTTTCTTAAGTTGAATAAGAAATCTCTTTGGCAAGTCCCTGGTGCACCCTACCGACTTACGCGGGTCCGTAACGCCAAAAGGTAGCGTCCTATAGACCCAAGGTGGTTCACAGCGTGAAGGCGGTATTGGATCATTACTTTTGTTAATTTTAGATGTTGGTAAGTTTGTAAATTAATTGCAGCAAATAGTAAAAGTTATTAAAGAGATCTTTTCTTGTCTCTCGGAGGGCGGACGCGACCCTTCGCCACTACTAGTTACACCAATGTTATCCAGTGGATAATATTGGATAATAGATGTTAGCTAATAATATCCGTGTGTATCATGGAATAGTAATACACATAATAAACACATATCCAAACGTTGATTTCTTATTACGGCGTATGTACCGTCGAGCTGGACAATTTTAACGATCAATTGGTTACTTAACTGAAGTTTATTTCTTCGGTAGTCACTAGCAATAGGAAAGTGCAACCAAATTTGGATCTCACTGCCAACAAACGATTCAATGTCCCCGCTTCCATTCTACCCGTCTAAAATCAGTATTACCATTATTTCAATCCTATACTCCAGAAATTGCGGTGACAAAGAGACAGTTATTACTTATACAAGTGTCATTAGAAATACAGTCGGTCTACTGAACATGAACCACGTATTTATCATAAAAAAATTACATAATTATGTATTAAAAATATCACTATACGCTGTTAAAATAAACTAGTTTTAAAAATTAGGCGTAGATTGTATTATGTATGTACATTTGGAGCGCATTTTACAGACAAAATTCATTTAGGTCCAAGTTTTCTGGCACTGACTAAAAGATGACACACTATTCAACTAGTATAATCACTATCTTACTACTTGAAGTGCATCAATCAGACCATGGTAACAACCAGTAAACAACCATGGTAACAAATAGTAGCAGTAGAGGTCCTTGTGAAAGAGTTCGTCCAGGGCAGTACTGCCACCTTACCTATTTCTGCCGCCAAGCAGTAATATCAGCATTACTGTGTTCCGGTTTTGAAGGCTAAGGGTGCTGGTGATATTGCAGGCCCTTTGGACGTGTCAACTTATGTATTAGGGTGACGGGCGCAGTGGCAGCGCCCCTCAGATCTTTGCGATATAAAGCTCTGAGGACACTGCAATTGTTATGGACAGGTGTGTAGCTTAACTTGATGTTATAATAATAAAAAACCAGAAGCATTAAAATCAATGAATCACGAATTTGAACTTGGTTACCATAGCGCATAATTCAACCTTTTTTAGAGTTACTCTAAATATGATCATGAGTGTAGTATTTATGTCTATTGTTATATACTAAAACATCTATCCATAATATTCTTTGGACAGTTAAACGTCGACAGGCTGCGCGAGACAAGAATTAAAATCGGTTTGTCGATGAAAATTCAATCGTATCTCCTCGATTATTTTGAGTAGTTATTATTCAGTATCTTTTGTTATACATTACAATAATTTGATATCTGACATTACACAAAGTAATAACTACTTCGTAATTTTTGCGATACGATTCAATTTGTGAAGTTAACAATTTAATTTCTGCCGATGACAATTTAATGATTTTTGTGTATGTAAAATGCGCTCTCTCGTTTAGTTCGTTATTATTGGAAGGTTTGAAAGCGCAAGAGTTAAATGCATGCTGTTATAGAATGCTTATATTGTAACGTTGTACGGCGTTACATCTACGATCATGTACAATAAATGATAAAACATATTTGTGTATTTTATTTGGGATTTACCTTCTCCATTTTATATTTCGATCTGATATATCAAGTTCAACACTTTTATAAGATTATTTACTCGATGCAGACTCGGTTATAAAGCGCAGCCATATCGCGAACGAAGCAAGCTAACTTGGCTCACGTAGTTGCAACCAACTATTGTTATACAACTAGAACTAAAATACAACAACTATTATATATAACCAGTTAAGCTAACGTAGTTTTGCGTGCAACTATGTGACCTAAGCTAAATTGGCAAGCTTCGGTTTAATCATAGTAGCGGGATATCGATATTGCGTTTTTTCTCTAACTTAGTGACGTCCGCGCGTGACGCGTGCGCATGCCCGTTATCGATAAATACAAATCGGTTCGCGGTACCTATTGGGTAATTTCTTACCAGCTTTTATCAAAATGTCGCAACCTTTTTTATTTTAATACATTTGCTGTCTGAACGTTGACCCTGTCACCATGGATAGTTTTTATATAAGTCATATTTCACAAACTACTACATATTACTGCTATATAAATTATTTTTTGTTTCCAACAATATAAACAAATTTCCAACTTAACATTTTTTATTACAACAAAATTGAACATCATCTATATCGATAGTATTTATCGACTGCAGTAATGTACGGCCTTGCGCTTAAACAAAAGTTCAGTACTTGCTCGTAAGTGGGAGAGAGAGCGCAATATCGCTGTCCCACTCCAATAATTGATGGCCGAATCTGCAGCGAGTAAATAACCTTACTAAGTGTTGTATGTATGTGTAGGATAGGTGTAGGTGGTGTAAGAGGAGATGGAGCGGCTGGTGGAGCCGTAGGCGTCTATTTCAGCCCATTAAATGAGACAATTTAGAAAATGATACGCATTAGGGAAGGAATACTGAATACTAGCCATTTCACTGGACATAAGAGCTTTCCGCTACGTTAATTATGCAAAATGACGAGTTTTCGGAAAAGGTTCTACGAACGAAGTTACTCGGTAACTTTTTATGCTTAAACAATCTTACGGCTCTTGTCTGTGCAGAAATCGAGTAGCAATTCCTTGGTAGTTAAATCCCCAAGCAACACTAAATAAATACAATTTTAAATTATAATTTTTTATATATAGATTTTAAGACTCGTGGTTATTCACTAAATGATTATCACTAATATCAGGTTTCTTACCACGGTATGACTTCAGGACACGGTATGACGGGAAAATAAAAAGAAGTCACACCGTGGTAAGAAACCTGATATTAGTGATAATCATATAATTTTTTAATTTTTATACTTTTTACAACTATATGTATGTAAAACGTATAAAACACACATACAGCCTCTATTAATTGCTTGGTGTTTAATATACACTTCGATTGCCGGTCTGATGCAGTGAATAGAATAAGTGAAACCTGAAAAACAGCAATGCTGTCTTCATCCTTTTTGTCCGCATTTGTTCTATTCGACGGCCTCTGTGGTTGAGTGGCTTGCACACAGGTTTTCATAGTGTCGCCATTTCTGAGGTCCCGGGTTCGCTCCTGGCCAGGTCTACAGTCTACACTGGTAGAAAACCAACTTTTCTATATCGTCCGTAGTTTGGGTGTTTGTGATACCGAACCGTCGTAGTTTTCGATTTCCATAATACAAGCGCTTTAGCTACTTACTTTGGGATCAGAGTATGTTATGTTGTCTAATATTTAATTATTATTATTTTTTCTTTCGATTATATTTGGTTTTTGTGTTATGTGGGTAAATATTTTTTTATTATTTATTTTTTATTCTTTTATTTAAATAGGAGGGTTATAAAAGGAAGAAAAAAAGAGTTCGTCCAGGGTAGTACTGCCGCCTTACCTATTTCTGCCGCCAAGCAGTAATGTGAGCATTACTGCGTTCCGGTTTTGAAGGGTAAGGGTGCTGGTGAAATTAAATTAGATGAGACCCTGCGTCCGAGTGCGTCGCACACCCTGCTCCATATGTAAAGCCGGCACTGAACCATGGAAAACTCGAGTCGGCGAGGCGGATTACCACCTAAACGGTCTCTTTAGAAAAGAACATTTATTATTATTGTTATTATATATCTTTAT